TTTTAAAATGTTACTGCCATTGATAAAGAAAAGCAGCTTTGAACGGTTGGACCATCTCTTGCCTACCATGTTTATGTCGTTAATAGAAACTCAGTTAGAATTTCAGGTCGTCCGTTGGATTGATCATCCGAAGGTTGATAGTTCGATAGATCATACAATCCCTTCCTTTTTGGGACGTCAAAAATACCTTTATGAGCTGAACGAGGAGAGACATTGGCTTTGCAATTGCATGTTCCATATTCGTACATTTTTGTGCTCGCAGCCGACAACAAAGATCAAAAGAGAGCTTTCGTGGCGGAGACATGAACACACAGAGGTTAATTCTGTTTCATCTCTGTGGACGTTCCTTAGTTACAAAACCTCTCCACAGAGCTGTTACGAGAGAAAAATTATAAGACCTTTCCTTTAGCTGGCTCACTATCACAGGGGAATTAGATTCCTTGTATCGACTTGTATTGTGGAAGGCTCTTCTTTCTTGTGGAACACGTACCCTATGCTAATAGTATACACACTCCTGTACTTTTGTTCTTAGCACGCGGAAGAGACTCCTTTGCTAGTTCGCCTTAGCACTTGTCCAAACTGTGAAAGCAGCGTTCCTAACGAACCATCGCCCAAAGAATTCGCTGAAATGGCAAACGATGGTAGAGTGCGATTGATAAAAGCATTGAAAGTCAGCTATTGGAAGCAGTTTGAACATGGTATGCTGTCTCGAGAGGCAGTGCAGGCATTGATCAATCTGGCCGATACTGCAATGGATGAAGAAGAAAGGTACAACTGAATAAAGAGTTACAGTCAACTTTCTCTTGACGACTTGTGGTATAAGAGTGAGACCTCTTTGAAACGGATACCTAAAGCTAATCCAGCCGTTCTTGAGTAATTTTCTTTTACTCCCTATAAAGTTTAAACCCTTCTAAGTTTAAGACAGGCACTTAGCTCAGGCCCTGGCAGTCTCCATTTTAATTCAGGCAACAGGGTGTTTGAAAAATCTATATCGCAACTGGGTGTAAAAGATAAGAAGGGATTTTCATAGATGCGTGATCATAAATGAAAAATGGTTGAGAAGGCTTTCGAGCTAGAAACAGTTTAACCTGTTAAAAAATGGATGTGAAACAAACTTAGCAATAGACCCCTCCCGTATTCCTTTCAGTGAGCTCACACAATGAAAGGAGCTTGTGGCCTGGTTGACCAATCTTATAAAAGTCACGCCCAACGATTCGAGTCGAGTTTTTGTTCACAGGAATACGAAAATGGTTTATTGTTCAGTATTTCAATTGTATCTACACCATCTACAGTTCTTTCAATAAAGACAAATCAAAATCTTAGCCCTTTTCCGGCGATAGTCGCCAAAAGGAGAACTTCACGTTATCCATGTTTAAAGAACCGTAAAGTAGGCACCGTGTAGTTATATAAGCTCGACAACAAAGCTACGGGGAACTTTTTGTATAGCTTGTTTTTTCTCGGATTGATAATGCTTTTTTTGTTGACAGTTTTATTGAAGTGGATGACTTACAGCCCTATTGGAGGGTGCCACCATCTCTACAAAAGCTGGTACGTGTGTTTCTTCGTATTATAGTATATTATAATATTTTGAGTTCTACTAACGATAAAATTTTGTTTTCATTTCTTATCACACTCTACGCTTTGAAGATTCATCAGTAAGGCTACTTGGTACGGAGCTTCAAAGTTCATAATATTTACTGCTGTGCTGTGATAATTAAGGCCAAAGAAAAACACATTTCAAATGAATTCATGTTGCAGATTAAAACAGCATAACTTCGGGTATATAAGTAAGGCTATTGGCTGATATTTACTGTTAAAACAAAAAAGGGCAAAAAAACACGATTCAAATAAAGAAAACGGTGAAGATTAAAACAGCAACTTCAGGTTTAAGTATAGGGTTTTTGGCAGCATTTTGAAACAGATCGGTCGAGTCTCGGAAAGTTCTGATCTTGGGCTAGTGATGTTGATGATAATGATGATGATAACGGCGATGGTGATGATAATAATCATGATGGTAATAATCATGATAAAATGACGTTGAAAATGGTGATGATGACAACGTTGACGATAACGGTTGTACTGATGGCGACGATGATGACGTGTCTTAACTCTATAATTTCTTTTTGCATTAGAAAGACAAACTGGAGCAAATGAAACACCACAAACCGGCTGAACGGGTACCCACGCCGAATAACAAGATTCTTTCCTTCATGTACAGCGTGGCTGTACACGTATCGTTTGACATCGTTATGAATACCTTGATCATAATCAACATGGTGCCTATCATTCTGGAACTGGCCTCAGACGACGATGCTCCTTACATGAACACTTTGAACGTCATCAATTATGTTTACTGTACCATATACGTCGGTGAAGCGGCCTGGAAGGTATGTGTTGTCTAAAAAGCTTCCTTATCTAAATTCTTTTTTAGGTGTCTAGCTGTCTTTGAATTTGAAAGCTACTTTGTCTAAATTGTTTTGTAGGTGTCTGGCTGTCTTTTAATTTAAGGTTTGTGTTGGAAGTTACATGACTACTAAAAAAATATGAAAATGAATTGATACTTCGTAAGTAAACATAAATATGTCACTGATATGTTTTATCTCATTTGTTAATTATACCTCAGTCAAATATCATAACCCCTACTAAAGGTGCAGTGACTTCTACAGATAAAATGCATGTTACTGTGAATATTTTATTACTGAAATATACGTTTTGTTGCAAATCTTAAACGAATATATTGTTTTTACAGATTTTGGCTTTTCGTCGTTACTACTTCAAAGACTACTGGAACCTCCTCGACCTGTTTATAGTTATATTGTCCCTTATCGATATCATTATTGACCAGGCAGTCGAAGAAGGCACAGGGAATTTTTCTCCATCAATCCTTAAAGTAGCCAAAGTTTTCAGAGTACTCAGAATGGGCCGTCTTTTAAGGCTCTTCAAGGTAGGCCATCTCATCTATTACTGACAAGTAACTTGTCACTTGTTTCCCCATTTATCTATAGTTGTTTTCAACTTAAGTTTTCCTTGGCTCGTCTAAAAAGAAAACGCTTTTGGTCAGCAGTCTAAATTTGTCTTCTCGATAGCTACGATCATTGCGTGTGTGCGAACACATTGAATCACGTGATTGAATTATTAGAATGGTTTTTGATAACGTAAAGAATGCCAACAAAACCGCGAAAAGTTCAGTTTCATGAACCATGTCATAAAAGACGATTACATGTATTTACATGTCGATTTGAATTTTGAAACAAACCTTCACATTGTTTTGTTCGACTTCTGTTTTCGTATCAGGAACAATTCCAATAATATTAACTGTCACTGCGTTAAGAAACCATTTACCTCAAAGAAAAATGAGAACATTTTCAAATCTACGATCAGTCGCCCCATGTAAGGGAGGCAATACTGTCTTGAATTCTGGATTCCATGCCATGGGTTCCGCATTCTCAGTCAGTGGAACTTGGATTCCGAATTCCAATCGTTAGTGGGATAGCGTGGATTTCTTGAGCTGTTTTCCAGATTTCAAAGCCCAGAATTCCGGATTCCACAACTCAAAATTTCCCGGATTCCAGATTCCACAAGCAAAAATATCGTGGATTCCGGAATCCCAATTCCCTTAAACGGGGCAAGATCAGAGAACGCATTGAGGTTTCTTGAGGGAGATTTAATTCACAAACTTTAGAAACGAATCGACCGGGCGTACAACTCATTTAGCATTTTATTTTCCCTACAGGCAGTTCTTCCAAAACTGATAGACTCTGTGAATAACATTATCAACCGTCAGTTGAGCTTTGGATATGATGTTGGTAAAGGATACATTATCGCCGAGGAAGAAATCATCAAGTTGATAGATCACATGGTGGTGGATAAAAGAATCGCAAAGGATTTAAAACAAAGATCAGAACAGAACCGTTTGAATGTCGTGAAAAGCCTGGGTAAGCAGGCGCGCTTGCAGCGTTATTCTTCCTTATCTAGGTTTACGTTTTTGACCTCGGCTACCAGAAGATCTTAGTTCAGGCTGGAAGAAGAGTAAGAAAGAGGATAGGGGAGGGTAAGAAGGAGAGATGATAACTCCTTTCTCAGTTTACTGTTTCGCGCGTTTACTTCCATCATGTTTACTGTCGTCAATAGAACTTTTTGTTTACTAATTAATCCTTTTTGTGTTTGTGATAATTCTGAAGGCCATGTAGCATTTCGATGGCAATCAAAAAGAGCATCCTATAGCAGTTTCTTGCCTAGATGTAANACCCCCCCCCCCCCCCCGCCCCAAATCCCCTTAATTGCTGACCAAAACACCACGCTGGATTGAGTTTTTCTTGATGATTTACCTGCAAAAAAAACTTGCGTTGACAGTTTCGCTGGTGAACTGTGATAACTGTAATATCAATACACAAAAATCGGTCGCACAAGGTGTAACATTACTTTTGTCGGTAGACTGCGAGCAGTTTCTCTTTTTCTTCCATATTAGTGAGGGGAGTGCACGCGCGCGCGAGCCGTGTTTCGTTCGATAGACTAAAAAAACAGAGACTTCTCATAGTCTTTTTTGTCAGTGTTAATAGTATACGACTCAATAAGAAAGACCTCAGGTACTTGGTTCGTCTCACATAAAAGAGAGAACAAATCCATAGTGTCTCCTAAACTTAAATTTTTCTATTCCCCTTTAATTTCAGTTTCCTAACAAACACTTATTTTTGTTGGAACTCTTTCAGGCATGCTGCAACGTGAACATCCAGGAATTGCAATCTCAGTAAAAACCCGCCAAGCGATTCGCACCATTTTGAACAATGCCCGTGACGTTATTCATGAGCTCAAAGGAGGCGGACTATTGGATGAGGCTGAAGCAGCAAAACTTGAATCGGTAATCAAGTTTTAAACCTATTATATCTTTGTTTCTGGTTTGTTAGTGAGACTTTCTGGCATCTGATCATCGTCAATCTTACCCTATCCTGCTCAGCTCCAGCAGGTTGCCTCAGTGTCTGTCGTTTTAAGCCGCGGCTGTTCAAATGCTGTATAACGCTGTCCAACGGATAAATCACTGTTCAGAGGATAGATATTCGTAAAACCAAAAGTGTTTTTCAGTAGATAGAGGTTTATCCCCATTGGATAGAGTTACAGCGTGCAAAGAAAGTCGTGCCCGATGGCCCAGGACTAGTGGATTTTGCTATCGACCCGGCCAGCTGGTGAATTCTGTTCTTAACTTGCCCGACGAGTAAACGATTTTTTTAGAGAACTCACTTGCAGAAGAAATGTAATCAATCCTGATCATCAATAATTTTTTTCTTCGGGCTATTTACAATGATTCTTGGGCTAGTATATGCTAGCTGAAGCTTGAATTGCCCGAATGTCAAATTGTAAAACTGACTTTCTTTGAGCCCTGGACAACTAGGGCCTGTTTAAGCTCTTTAGTTAGACATTGATCTTTGTCGGAGTCTATATCCCATTGATTAGACTTGATTAGCCATTGACACAGTACAAAAGCTGCACAAATAAGTAAAGAACCTTAAGTGATTCTCAATCTTCGACTTACAGATTGTCGAAGTGAAGATGAAGCGACAACTGAGTGCTCCAGCCTCCATTCAACCTCAGAAGCCCTTGGAATTGCTGCGTAACGTGGTGTGGCTAGAAGGAATGGCATCAGACGCGGT